TAAGTCAGGTGCTGATCGATTGCATAAATCAGAAAGAAAGAGGGAGAGAAAAAAACTCATAAAGCTGATAATCCAAATGTTGAATTCCGTAGCGTTTTGAAGAAAATAAATCTATGAAAAATGTTTAAACATCATTTCACTTGAAGAGAATTAAATACCCGGTCACGTATGTACGGAAACCTGCATTTGTCTAAATAATAAATTACCCTATTTGTCTTCGTTGTGATTTTTCTGATTGTAACTTCAGTATGCTACATAGTAGGATTCTGATTCAGGAATAGTTAGGAATTCCAGGCATTTTCATACTTATCACTACAATTATAGAAAAGCATAAACATTTGATAAAAAATAGGATTTTAAAACATTTAATGAATATTTCTCTTAACAATCATTGAGCTTTCAAAACATGCTTTATATATATTTACAATGTGTATATCTACACTTGCAATTTTGTATCACTATAAAACCAGATTACATGTTCACAACACTAGCATTGAAACATTTACCTTTAAACTTGCGTATGAAAATGTTATTGGAACTACTTTTTGCCAAACACATGGATATGTATTGTTTTTAGTTTACTACATATATCAAATAAGACAGAAATGTAAACATTTAAATTTTAATCAGATTAAATATGATAAGCCACGAAAATGTTGGGGTTTTTTTTCACGGAGGAAAACTTCCAATTTGTTGTGAAGAGTCACCAGTGGCTGTTCTACCTATTAAACCCCCTCCTACCTATAACCGACTTTTTAAGACTTATTACGTCACCCACTAACAAGGATTACTCCATAGACTATTTTGATGAAAAGACATTCACGTGTAGATATAGGGGCCACAATGAATACATTCCGAGAGGAATTGCTCCAATCCCTATAAGCACATGGAAGAAACGAAAAATGTCAGATTTTTGGAGAGGGAGTCTATTCCATTTGTTGGTATGAATCTAAAAGTAGATTTTTAGAATCGACGTCAGCAATTTTTTGCGTTCTGTTAACCGTGTGCTTGCTCGACGGAAAGGAAAACGTCCTATTATTGGTTTGAAATACATGCTCTACCATAAGACAGGATTGGTAAGGTTACATAGACAGTTAGTCTACCACGAAAACAAGACGCGCAGTATCTTTTTTTTTTTTTTTTTTTTGATGATAAGCATGTTTATATATTGAAAAAACTACAGGTCTAATTCAGAACAGGCTAGTTTTTTGCGGTAGGCTTGTTTTCAAGTATTTAGGACAGACGAAACATATTGTCTTTGCGATTCTGTTTTTCATCTTTTTATGGGACAATGGCGCTCATGAATATGTATAACACGTGGTTTTATTACAAAGTGCAGCTGGGTCATTCTAATACCGTCAGTTAAGCCGGACAGATTTAAGTTAATTCTGCACCATATTGTTTTAGAAATTGTGTCCGTTAATATAACTAAAAAAACTCAAAGGTGTATATTTGTTTAATGTGTTAAAACAAATTCTGTGGGGGCATCTGTGGTAAAACAAATTTTGTGGGGGGATCTGTGGTAAAACAAATTTTGTGGGGGGATCTGTGGTAAAACAAATTTTGTGGGGGGATCTGCTCAAATGTTTTCATTTTAACTTTTCAAAGTAAGTTTTTTTCAGGGGAGATAATTCAAACGCGCACATATGTATGTGGCGTTTTAGTGTATTTCGTTATTCAATGACGTTATATTTTCAGCGATCATACGACTACACTGTAAATACAAGTGTTTTCGTGGTTATTCGTATAACGGTATGATGACTGTAGAATAGATTGATATTAACCCCGACTCCTCCACCGAACTGGCCACTAGTCTTAAAAATTATTAAAGTTCTATCTTCAACACCATAGCGAGGTTCATTAAAAAAAATGATGTAACAACATATTAGTTAAAAAATGAAACTGTCGCATAGCTGTGTTAAATTTAGATGTTCAAGCATAAACGACATCGCGCCATTTACTTAACAACAAGTCCTAGTTGCTTATGTCTAGCCTTTAACACAATGAAGAACTGGAATCTTGCAGCCATGTTCAAGACAAACATCATTCCCAGAATCAACACGAAATCGGAACTGGATTTTGTTTTGTTTAAAAAGGAATGCCATTTAGCTTATTCAAAGAAAAAATATCTAATGCTAACAAGAGTTTATTGGTATTTCTACTTCATCTGATGAACGTAAATGCATTGAAGACAAACGGATCCTGTCCAGTACAAATCATTGATCATTATCTGACTACCAAATAAAAGCCATTGATGGTAGCTGTTCATTGAACAGATATTCAAGACACTTGGCGACATCGGGAAATTCAGCGATTACTGTAATTGGTACCTGGGTGTGACAAAACGATTCTGATATTGCTAGTTTAAACTTTGTCAAATGGTTCCTTGTTAACTGCATTCGAACTTTTATTGTTAGCATTATCGTGGAATGAAACTTCAAACTCCTGAAGTATTGCTCATCGTTTTCGTGTCTGCTTAACTATATGTATAATTTGTTGTCACGTTTTATCGTACATGGAAACATGTTTTAATTAGCTTTAGTTTGGTATTTTCTTTTGATTTTCTGCAAGCCGGCCAGGAATCAGACAATTTCCTGATGGCACTCTGTCAATAAACTGTTATTTACATTTTTCACCAGTTTTTTTTTTTTTTCATCTAAAAACGTGACATTATTTCCTTGAATTGGCTAACAACTTCCGGAATTGGCTAACAACTTCCGGAATACCTTGGCTGATTATCCTGGTATTTTTTTTCATAGATCTCTGTGAATCTATCCTTGTTCATAGTCTAACCCTTATATACCAATTTTACTTTGAAGTAAGATTGTGTTTATGTATTGCAGAACCTAATTCGGCTTTTTTTATCTCAACTTTTGAAGGGCCAGGAAAGGATACGTCATGATCACGTGGTCTAAGAATACCGGCGTTATCGTCATTGCGGACAAATATACAAAGTGAAATCGCTTCGTCCTCGGCGTTACAGTAGGTCTATGTGCTTAAAGGCCCAGAATACACCAACAACACGACCTGTTAATATAGAAGGCCAGACTCGACACGTCCGCAACATGAACGCATTATTCTATCTACAGTAGAATGTCGGAACACACGCAACCTTAGATCGACCTATAGACTAATATGGCACCCACTATCTCCGTATCTGTCTTATATATCATACATTTGTTTACACACTTCTATGTACAGATACGTCAACACCTATTAAAACAAGTTATGTTTTTAAAGATATATAAAAAAAAGTTGTCCAATATTCTGGCGTAAAGCCGTAACGGTTATAGTGTTTTTACACGGAAAGCTATTTTGTCCTATTTAAAAGTTTGAAACAGTTTAGAAAACTGTAACATGAATTTTGCTTTTATTTTGTATTCTAATTCGAAAATTATTCAAAGAGTTATTGATATATTATTTTGTCAGCTTTCTATAATCCAAGCAATCAAATATATATATATGAAAAAAGAAGCTTCTGTTTTGTCTTTTTGGAAGAGTTAACACCCTTTACTTTTCATGGGACAGTTTTCTCAGTTTTCGACTTAATTCTCCTAATCTTGTAGTTTTCTTATTTTATATTCTTCGTGGTGTTTTGGATTTCGTAGTCCTGTTTTGGATTTCGTAGTCATGTTTTGGATTTCGTACTCATGTTTTGGAATTAAAATCCGTAACTGTGTTAGTGCTTTAATTATGCTTTAACATACAAGGTATGATCTCAATATTTTTATCTCATTTTTTGAAAAAAAAATAAGATTTATTTTCATAATAACATTTAAACATGTTTTTGCGTATTTAAAGTGACTAAAGTTTATAAGGCTATAAAGCAGAAAACGCGCACTCTTCCGGAACACCTGGTCTTATTCTCCGTATATTTTTTTCCGTGTAAATTTTTCTTTTGTTCATATTTTGCCGTAGTTTTATTGAATTTCAGTTTGGATTATGATGATATTGGCATGTTAATATTTTCTTGTTTGTTCTATGTTGTTTAAACAATGATGGACACATTTTTAAATACTTTGTTTTTATCTTACAGGTATTTTTTTGCATGGGATAGTGGGATTCATTACTATGAGTAAAGACATATAGATAGACATATTTTTTTAACAAAACAAAATTTGTACAACAGTTATCGACCGTCCCAGCAATCATAGCTTTACAACAATGTGCTATCCCTTTCCACCGGAAGTGCAGCAAATTCCAACGTCTGGAAGCGATAGGATCATGACAAGACAAGTCCTCCTAGATATTAAACCGGAAATGACGAAGGCTGGCTTCCATAAAACGATCGCAGCGATGTTTTTTTTATTTTTTGTTTAAGCCAGGTATGATGGCTTATTAGCCAGTTTGCGTCTGGCGTTTTATACCGACATGTTGATGGAGCCAGGATCATCGACTACCAAACACACTATCACGCGACTACTAGTTATAGTACCGAGACACTCTCGGGAAATGGAGATTCTTCTTTCTTTCTTAATATTTCTTTCTATCTTTTTCCTATCTTTCTTTCTTTCTCTCTTTTTTTCTTTCTCTTTTTCCTTCTTTCTTTCAAATATTTAAATATACATTTATGCTTTTATACTGATAATAACAATTTGTTACAGTTTGCTGGTGAAATAAGTGAAAATCAGGTTGACAACACTATTATCATATACTATCATCGTTAGCGGTGAAACAGCTGCTATTCTTTATACCAACAAGAGCGTTGACTTCCAGTAAAACAAAGAATATGATTCATAAATCAAAACATGGTAACAGGTAATAAGTATGTTCTTTTCTTAAATGTTCAATCAACACTGGAGAGGTCGGACATTTTTCGATCCAGTGATATATAAATGATAAGTGAGCTTGTTATAATAATGAAAATAATAGAAAATAGGAATGAAATTCAAACGGGGTAACTCTAAACGGGGTAACTCTATACAGGAAAACTCTAAACGGGGTAACTCTAAACGGGTAACTCTAAACGGGGTAACTCTAAACGGGGTAACTCTATACAGGATAACTCTAAACGGGATAACTCTAAACAGGGTAATTCTAAACGGGATAACTCTAAACGGGGTAACTCTAAACGGGGTAACTCTATACAGGATAACTCTAAACGGGGTAACTCTATACAGGATAACTCTAAACGGGGTAACTCTAAACGGGGTAACTCTATACAGGATAACTTTAAACGGGGTAACTCTATACAGGATAAACAGGGTAACTCTAAACGGGGTAACTCTAAACGGGGTAACTCTAAACGGGGTAACTCTATACAGGATAAACAGGGTAACTCTAAACGAGGTAACTCTATACAGGATAAACAGAGTAACTCTAAACGGGGTAACTCTAAACAGGATAAACAGGGTAACTCTAAACGGGGTAACTCTATACAGGATAACTCTAAACGGGGTAACTCTAAACGGGATAACTCTAAACGGGGTAACTCTAAACGGGGTAACTCTAAACGGGGTAACTCTATACAGGATAACTCTAAACGGGGTAACTCTAAACTGGTTAACTCTAAACGGGTAAGCTCTAAACGGGGTAACTCTATACAGGATAACTCTAAACGGGGTAACTCTATACAGGATAACTCTAAACGGGATATCTCTAAACGGGGTAACTCTAAACGGGGTAACTCTAAACGGGGTAACTCTATACAGGATAACTTTAAACGGGGTAACTCTATACAGGATAACTCTAAACGGGGTAACTCTAAACGGGATATCTCTAAACGGGGTAACTCTATACAGGATAACTCTAAACGGGGTAACTCTAAACTGGTTAACTCTAAACGGGGTAACTCTATACAGGATAACTCTAAACAGGGTAACTCTATACAGGATAACTCTAAACGGGGTAACTCTACACAGGATAACTCTAAACGGGGTAACTCTAAACGGGGTAACTCTATACAGGATAACTCTAAACGGGGTAACTCTAAACGGGATATCTCTAAACGGGGTAACTCTAAACGGGGTAACTCTATACAGGATAACTCTAAACGGGGTATCTCTAAACGGGTTAACTCTAAACGGGATATCTCTAACCGGGGTAACTCTAAACGGGGTAACTCTAAACGGGATATCTCTAAACGGGGTATATCTCTAAACAGGGTAACTCTATACAGGATAACTCTAAACGGGGTAACTCTAAACGGGTTAACTCTATACAGGATAACTCTAAACGGGTAACTCTAAACGGGATAACTCTAAACGGGATATCTCTAAACGGGGTAACTCTAAACGGGATATCTCTAAACGGGATATCTCTAAACGGGGTAACTCTAAACGGGATATCTCTAAACGGGGTAACTCTAAACGGGGTAACTCTATACAGGATAACTCTAAACGGGGTATCTCTAAACGGGTTAACTCTAAACGGGATATCTCTAACCGGGGTAACTCTAAACGGGGTAACTCTAAACGGGATATCTCTAAACGGGATATCTCTAAACAGGGTAACTCTATACAGGATAACTCTAAACGGGGTAACTCTAAACGGGGTAACTCTATACAGGATAACTCTAAACGGGTAACTCTAAACGGGATAACTCTAAACGGGATATCTCTAAACGGGGTAACTCTAAACGGGATATCTCTAAACGGGGTAACTCTAAACGGGATATATCTAAACGGGATATCTCTAAACGGGGTAACTCTAAACGGGATATCTCTAAACGGGGTAACTCTAAACGGGGTAACTCTATACAGGATAACTCTAAACGGGGTAACTCTAAACGGGGTAACTCTAAACGGGGTAACTCTAAACGGGATCACTCTAAACGGGATATCTCTAAACGGGATAACTCTATACGGGATATCTCTAAAAGGGGTTATTCTAAATGGGATATCTCTAAACGGGGTAACTCTAAACGGGATAACTCTATACAGGATAACTCTAAACGGGTAACTCTAAACGGAATAACTCTAAACGGGATAACTCTAAACGGGATAACTCTAACCGGGGGGATATCTCTAAACGGGATAACTCTATACGGGATATCTCTAAAAGGGGTTATTCTAAATGGGATATCTCTAAACGGGGTAACTCTAAACGGGATAACTCTTAACGGGGTAACTCTAAACTGGGTAACTATAAACGGGGTAACTCTAAACGGGATATCTAAACGGGGTAACTCTAAACGGGATATCTCTAAACGGGATAACTCTAAACGGGGTAACTCTAAACTGGGTAACTATAAACGGAGTAACTCTAAACGGGATAACTCTAAACGGGGTAACTCTAAACGGGGTAACTCTAACTCTAAACGGAATAACTCTAAACGGGGTAACTCTAAACGGGATAACTCTAAACGGGATAACTCTAAACGGGGTAACTCTAAACTGGGTAACTATAAACGGAGTAACTCTAAACGGGATAACTATAAACGGGGTAACTCTAAACGGTGTAACTCTAAACGGAATAACTCTAAACGGGGTAACTCTAAACGGGATAACTCTAAACGGTGTAACTCTAAACGGGATAACTCTAAACGGGGTAACTCTAAACGGGATAACTATAAACGGGGTAACTCTAAACGGGGTAACTCTAAACGGTGTAACTCTAAACGGAATAACTCTAAACGGGGTAACTCTAAACGGGATAACTATAAACGGGGTAACTCTAAACGGGGTAACTCTAAACGGAATAACTCTAAACGGGTAACTCTAAACGGGTAACTCTAAACGGGTAACTCTAAACGGGATAACTCTAAACGGGATAACTCTAAACGGGATAACTCTAAACGGGTAACTATAAACGGAGTAACTCTAAACGGGATAACTATAAACGGGGTAACTCTAAACGGTGTAACTCTAAACGGAATAACTCTAAACGGGGTAACTCTAAACGGGATAACTCTAAACGGGATAACTCTAAACGGGGTAACTCTAAACTGGGTAACTATAAACGGGGTAACTCTAAACGGGATAACTATAAACGGGGTAACTCTAAACGGGATAACTCTAAACGGGATAACTCTAAACGGGGTAACTCTAAACTGGGTAACTATAAACGGGGTAACTCTAAACGGGATAACTATAAACGGGGTAACTCTAAACGGGGTAACTCTAAACGGAATAACTCGAAACGGGGTAACTCTAAACGGGGTAACTCTAAACGGGATAACTCTAAACGGGGTAACTCTAAACGGGACAACTCTAAACGGGATAACTCTAAACGGCGCTTGCATGTTGTAACAGTTGAAATATGACGTCACAGGTCTTCAGATAGGTACCTTAACGCATGTTTTTAACACGAGTGAACTACGTGTACATACAATTCGACATACAAGGATTAATTAATTTAACTTCATTGGATGTGAAAAAACCAGCACCAAGACAACACAAAATCGAGGCTTTTTCAAGGTGTAAACAATGTATTGACTCGGCTGATGAAATGTGAAATTCAGACAGATCATGTACATTAAACATCGGTTTGGACTCTAGTGTTGATCATGTGATGTCCCCGTCCATCCCTTATTGATTAATTCCATGCATTTGTACAATTTACAATTCTAACACTAAAAGCTATGAACATCAGAATTTTTAAAATTAGTTTTTCATTGTCCATTTCCATCACACGGAATCAATTTTGTCTGGTATGTATAACGGACCATGGTGAAGAATTCACCGTTTTGCTGGTGACAACAACTTCTTTACTTTTACAAAAACTTGATCAGATGGCAATTTCAGCGCTGGATAACCAATTTAGGCGGAAAATGATTCTAACAAAATATACATGTATGTTTTAATCAGTTTGATAGCATGAATAAGGCTTCCTGCAGAACATCAACACAAATTTCACGGAAACACTTCGCATTTTAATATTACCCAATGTATAAGTAAATGGTTATGCTATTATTAAACACATCAGACAGATACTGTTATCTGATGTCCATGACACAGTTTATGACGTCACAATATTAAGATGTGTTTCCGGATTGAAGTCTTACTTCTGGAACATTCAGCATCAAATGAAAACCAGCATTTATAAAAATAATGATAAAGCAGGCGGTGGAATATCTTAAGTATACAGCATACAACAGTGAGGTCAGCTATGAGATCTATGAAGGAACAAGCATATCATGTTTGTATGATACCTGGCGCTTGAAACTGCCGTCGGCTGATTGCGAACAGACCATGATACATTGTGATATGTTGACGGTGAACACAAACACGCCGTGCATGTGATGATTTTCGTGGAGTTTTATGAATGATACAGGCAGTTTTGTATTGTCACAAGAATAATATTACCTGTTCAGTCATCCGTAAACTACATCACCAAATTTGGGCAGCGATATTCAAAGAAATGCCATGACTTTGACTACTTTGTGTATTCCAGCTTATTATATTATCACCCAGACACGTTAACACTGGGTACATAATAACACATTTTATTATCACCCAGACACATTAACACTGGGTACATAATAACACATTTTATTATCACCCAGACACGTTAACACTGGGTACATAATAACACATTTTATTATCACCCAGACACATTAACACTGGGTACATAATAACACATTTTATTACCACCCAGACACGTTAACACTGGGTACATAATAACAAATTTTATTATCACCCAGACACGTTAACACTGGGTACATAATAACACATTTTATTATCACCCAGACACATTAACACTGGGTACATAATAACACTGGGTACATAATAATACATTTTATTATCACCCAGACACATTAACACTGGGTACATAATAACACATTATATTATCACCCAGACACCAGGGTACATAATAACACATTTAATAACACACGTGGGTACATAATAACACATTTTATTATCACCCAGACACATTAACACTGGGTACATAATAACACATTTTATTATCACCCAGACACATTAACACTGGGTACATAATAACACATTTTATTATCACCCAGACACATTAACACTGGGTACATAATAACACATTTAATTATCACCCAGACACGTTAACACTGGGTACATAATAACACATTTTATTCTCACCCAGACACATTAACACTGGGTACATAATAACACATTTAATTATCACCCAGACACGTTAACACTGGGTACATAATAACACATTTTATTATCACCCAGACACATTAACACTGGGTACATAATAACACATTTTATTATCACCCAGACACGTTAACACTGGGTACATAATAACACATTTTATTATCACCCAGACACATTAACACTGGGTACATAATAACACATTATATTATCACCCAGACACCTTAACACTGGGTACATAATAACACATTTAATTATCACCCAGACACGTTAACACTGGGTACATAATAACACATTTAATTATCACCCAGACACGTTAACACTGGGTACATAATAACACATTTTATTATCACCCAGACACATTAACACTGGGTACATAATAACACATTTAATTATCACCCAGACACGTTAACACTGGGTACATAATAACACATTTTATTATCATCCAGACACATTAAAATGTATACCACTGGGTACATAATAATACATTTTATTATCACCCAGACACGTTAACACTGGGTACATAATAACACATTTAATTATCACCCAGACACGTTAACACTGGGTACATAATAACACATTTAATTATCACCCAGACACATTAACACTGGGTACATAATAACACATTTTATTATCACCCAGACACATTAACACTGGGTACATAATAACACATTTAATTATCACCCAGACACGTTAACACTGGGTACATAATAACACAGACACATTAACACTGGGTACATAATAACACATTTTATTATCACCCAGACACGTTAACACTGGGTACATAATAACACATTTAATTATCACCCAGACACGTTAACACTGGGTACATAATAACACATTTTATTATCATCCAGACACATTAACACTGGGTACATAATAACACATTTAATTATCACCCAGACACGTTAACACTGGGTACATAATAACACATTTAATTATCACCCAGACACATTAACACTGGGTACATATTAACACATTTAATTATCACCCAGATACGTTAACACTGGGTACATAATAACACATTTTATTATCACCCAGACACATTAACACTGGGTACATAATAACACATTTTTAATAAACAAATGTGATATTTGTTTAAATTGTATTCGGACGAATGTATGTTCTGTGGAACGAATGAAAATATTTACGGATAGAAATGTACGGAGACCATCATGTCTTCGCATTGATTTGTTTATAAATAATACATACACACGTCGATCGTCGTGACAACTCACAAATACTATTCTGTCAGTTATAGTGTCCATTAAAAACATAATGTAAATGCACACATCGCGTACTAAAAGCTTTATGCAAAAAAGTGAAATCGCCTTAATGTGTATGTACACGTAGAGAGTTCACATTATTCATCTCCGAATAAAAATTTGTGTTTCATAAATAATATGATTTGCCATTCCACTATCGGAAATCTTCCTATCATCAACGTCAGTGGCCTCGTGTAGCAGCCCAAGTCCTCGAGGGCAAATTGGTATCCACAAGTTTTGTAAGAGGTTTATATATGATAATGAAGTGATTTATGTCTTTATTGTCCACCCCCTCCCATCCCCTTGAGTATCCTCTATAACATTACATGTATGGAGGACTTTAGCCGGTGTAATCTCAAGTGAGGGAACTGATCGAACACCAGTATCCAATCTATCACAGTTAAAGATAAAGAAAGATGTTTATCGCAATGAGAGCGATTACCCTTAACCATGTACATAGGCAATCTGTCTATAGGTACACGACCTTTGTCCAGAGGAAAATAAAACATATCATTGTGGCTGTTATTGAATTCTTCCTCCATCTGGTATAAACCGGAACCGGAAACACGTCATAATGTCAATACATGTATAACCATGGTTAGTTGAAACAAATTCGTATGCAAACAAAAGCAAAACGGTTTGGACAAAAGTTATTACAACTTATTTGCGTCTTTTCCATAACAAATAAATACTTGTAAAGTTCATACATCATGCAGTGGCCTCATATTAAATCATATATATCAGAGACACACACATATATATATGAAGTCGAGTTTAAGGTGAGGTTACAGTAAAATTGAAAAGAATAAGCATGTATAAGCGTGTAAGATTTCGGTTAAATCTTTCATAAGATGTACAGAAAAAAAATGACTGCTTTGGGATTCATGCAATCGTTTTTCTGACAAAACCATCAAACTGTACACCTCGGATCAACAGCAGAAGTTGAGGTGGAAGTGTACATCTCGTATAGTGGTCTAGCTTTTGTTTGAAGAATACTGTTCAAGAATTTTCTCAATTTAATTAAAATAGTATCTCACTTGTCACGTTTGTGCTTTGTGTAATGAATAACAAACAAATTAAAATCAGAGATGGAAAAGCAATTAAATTGTTCAACTTAATTAATTTTGGTTCTGGTATAGGAACGTATCATGTTTACCCTTTGTACTGTCATCTGTATGTAGACCTTGGTTCTTTTCTGTCTTTGATGATATTAGAAAAGCAGGCAAAGGTGGAAAAATAACAAAAAATTAGATATGTTAATTCATCTTAGTGTGCGCCGGAAAGGCTGGTTTGAAACAAGAAAAAACGAAGTTAAGAAACGAGTGATAGAAGTCACAAAGTATTAGCCGCAACAAACAGCAAGAAAGTAAACAGCGAAGTGGGCGACTGTATGGTAAATTTTAATAAAGGAATACATTTTCCGGAGTTCTCCGAATGCATTTACGTTTCAAGACACAATGGAATCAGTTATGGTATACAGTTTACTCTATATACGATGTAAGTTCATCTCAAATAATGGCCCGAATCTAATCATGGCGTTTAATGGTTGATCTTCAAATAATACATTTTAAGAATTTAATTGTATAGAAGTTCTTTACAAAATGTATAGTAACCCTTCCCTTATCGTAATTTATTTGTCAGGTAACAATCAAATTACTTGTAAACTCAAAGGAAATTTAGAGGTTAGTAATCAAACCGACAAATAATAAAAAAGTAACAATGAAAAAGCAAAACAAAAGAATAAAAAAACAAACAAACAAACAAACTGACACTTTGCGCCTTAAATCTCTCCTCGCAATCTGATATCACGACGATGGAGTCACGTGACCCTGACGATTTAATACAGGTCACGTGACAGATGCATCGACGGTCTAGAAGACTGCCTATGATGTTTAAATGATATTTGAGTGATGATCCATTGATAAATGGTGATT